CACATCGATAAAAAAACACATAAGAGAATAAGGTTTTGCACTATAAATATATCCCACATCAATAAGAAATATTTAAGAAAATAAATTTTTGTACTATAAAACATGTGAAACTCACACTACAAGAAAACCCAAAATCACCGACCCCAAATCACCGACGTAAAACTTGTTATCGGTAAATGAGCACTTTACCGACAAGAAACATATCTGTAAATGTAGTAACAGTAAAAATTACAGTAATTTATATTATTTAAGTTTCAGATAAAATCTTTATCGGTGATTTAATGATATACACATGTGCTCCTTGTCAGTAAAATTTTGAAAAAGTCAGTCCGGTGGCGTGAGGACCGGTAACTCATATACCGACGTGATCCTTGTCGGTAAGTTCACAATTCAACCCCGCACAGTGAATTGGCTGCTCGCGTCAGTTTTTTCATAAATTCCAACAATATTCTCGTTGGTAATTTGCATTACACACCAACGTCGAGTTTTTCGGTGATGATCCTGGTCAATCAGATTCTTGAAGCAATGCAGAGTTGATTAGCTCTACGGGTTTCCAACAGGAACCCGTCGGTGAGCTTTACAGGTTTCCAACGGGAACCTGTCGGTGAGCTTTACAGGTTTTCAACGGGAACTCGTCGGTGAGCTTCGCCCTTGCCTACTGAGACCCCCCTTTCCCCTTTCATTTTCGTCTGTCGAGACCCCCCTTCCCCTTTCATTTTCGTCTGTCGAGACCCCCCTTCCCCTTTCATTCTCGTCTGCCAAGACCCCCCCATCCCCTTTCATTTTCGTCTGCATGCCGAGACCCTCCGTTGAAACTGGTCGGTGAGTTTAGACGGGAATGCAAATTTTTTGTTTTTTTTTTGGATTCTTGCTTTTAGGTTAATTACCTATGTGGGTTTTGTCGGTAAAATTATTTCCGATATACCACACACAGGTCAACGGTGAATTTCGGCGGGAATGCAAATTTTTTGTTTTTTTTGGATTCTCGCTTTTAGGTTAATTGCCTATGTGGGTTTTGTCAGTAAAATTATTTCCGACATATTACATATTGGTAAAATAGTCTATATATATCCAGAACACTCTAACCCGATCATTTCTTCATTCCTTCCTTCTTCTTCTTCTTTTTCTTCTTTTTTCTTCTCCTCCCTTATCTATCTCACCTCTTACTCTTCCATTCAAATACTGCTAGATTAATTATATGATGTTTATAACTGCATTATATTCATATAATTTTAGGGTTATATCTTCTTAATCTCCTTTCTTTTTCTCTTCCATTGTTTTTTTATATTTAATTAAACACTAATTTGTGTTATTAATGAATTTATTTGTAATTCTAATTTTTTTTTT